TTCCCATGATACTGAGGTTTTGTTCATAAAGTCTTTTCCTATGCCAATGTCTTCAAGAGTTCTACCTAACTTATCTTCCAGCAAATTTAGTGTTTCTGTCTTAATATTTAAATCTTTAATCCACTTCGATCTTAGTTTAGTGCATGGTGCTAGGTAAAGGTCTAGTTTTAATCTTTGGCAGGTTGAAATCCAATTTTTCCAACACCATTTATTAAATAGGCTATCTGTCCTCCAATGAGGGTGGTTGACTCCTTTGTCAAAGATGAGGTGGCTGAATATGTCTGAAGTTGTTCCTGCATCTTCTAATCCATTCCACTGATCCTCAGGTCTGTTTCTTTGCCAGTACCATGCTGTTTTTTTTTTTAAATCACAGTAGCTTTGTAGTATAGTTTCAACTTGGGGATTGTGATACCCCCAGCCATGTCTCTGTTGCCTAGAATTGCTTTTTCTATTCTAGGTCTCTTCTTGTTACAAATGAATTTTTGGATTGCTTTTTATGGTTCTGTGAAGAATATTGTTGAGATTTCAATCGGTATTGCATTAAATCTATATAGCAGTTTTGGAAATATGGTCATTTTCATATATTGGTTCTTCTTGCCCAGGAACAGGGGATGGGTTTCCATTTTCTTATATCCTCTTTGATCTATTTTTTCAGAGTGATGTAGTTTTCAAAGTAGAGGTCTTTTGCTTCCTTCATTAGATTGATTCCTAGATATTTCATTTTTTGGATGCTATTGTGAAAGGGATTGTTTCCCTAATTTCTCTCTCAGTGAGTCTGTTATTTGTGTACAAGAAGGCTATTGATTTTTGAGTGTTGACCTTGTATCCAGCTACTCCACTAAATCTGTCAATTAAGACTGGAAGTCTTTTGGCAGAGTGTTTTGGGTCTTCTATGTAGAGTATCATATCGTCAGCAAATCATGACAGTTTAACTTCTTCCTTTCCTATCTTTATTCATTTCTTTCTATTTTCTAATTGCTGTAGCTAATGTTTCCAAAACTATATTGAACAGGAGTGGTGAGAGTGGACATCCTTGTCTTGTTCCTGACTTTAGCATGAAACTTTTCAGTTTTTGACAATTTAGTATGATGTTAGCTGTTTGTTTTTCATAGATAGCCTTAATCATGTTGAGATAAAGACCTTCTATTCCAATTTTCTGTAGGGTTTTTATCATGAATGGGTGTTGGATTTTGTTGAATGCTTTTTCTGCATCTGTTGAGATGACCATATAGTTTTTGTCCTTGAATCTGTTAAAATAGTGTATTACATTTATTGATTTATGTATATTGAACCATCCGTGCATCTCTGGGATAAATCCGACTTGGTCAAGGTGGATGATCTTCTTGATAACCCTCTGTGTTTTGTTTGCCAGTATCTTGTTGAGGATTTTTGCATCTATGTTCATTAGGGAGATTGGCCTGTAGTTCTCTTTTTGGGTTGGGTCTTTCCCTGGTTTTGGAATCAAAGTGAGACTTGCTTCCAGGAATGAATTTGGAAGTATTGCTTCTCTTTCAATTTCATTGAAGAGTTTAAAGAGCAGTATCAATAGTTCTTCTCTAAATGTCTTATAGAATTCAGCAGTGAAGCCATCCCCACCTGGGCTTTTCTTTGTTGGTAAATATTTTATTACATTTTCAATTTCACTCATTGTAATTGGGGTGTTTAGATTTTCTATATCTTCTTCATTTAACTTTGGCAATTCATATGTATCTAGGAATCTGCCCATTTCTTCTGTGTTTTCCATTTTATTGGAGTAGAGGTTCTCGAAGTAGGTATTGATGATCCTCTGGATTTCTGTTGGGTCTGTTGTGACTTCACCTTTTTCATTATTAATTGCATGTATTTGTGCCTTTTCTTTCCTTTTTTTTATAAGGCTGGCTAAAGGTTTATCAATTTTATTTATTCTTTTGAAAAAACCAACTCTTTGATTCATTGATTTTTTTGTATCATTCTCTTAGTCTCCATTGTATTGATTTCTGCTCTGATCTTTATAATTTCCTCTCTTGTATGAGCTTTGGGTTTGTCTTGCTCTTATTTTTCTAGGAGCTTGAGGTTCAGCATTAGTTTGTTTATTTAAGCTCTCTCTGTTTTCCTAGTATGGGTATTCACTTCTATGAATTTCCCTCATAGGATTGCTTTCATTGTGTCCCATAGATTCCTGTATGTTTTATTGGCACTATCGTTAAATTGTAGAAACTGTCCAATTTCTTATTTAATTTCCTCTGTGATCTATTGGTTGTTCAGGAGAGTGTTGTTCCAGGTGTTTGTGGAGTTCTTGCAGTTCCTTATGCTATTGATCTCCAAATTATTGTGCTATATGTCTAATAATATACAGAGGATAACTTCAATACCTTTGCATTTACTTAGACATGTTCTATGAGGTAGCCTGTAGTCTATTTTGGAGAATGAACTGTGTGCAGCTGAAAAGAATGTATATTCTGATTTTGTGGGGTGAAACACTCTGTAGTCATTTATTAAGCCCATTTGTTCAAAAGCTTGGTTCAATTCTAGTATTTTGTTGTTGATTTTTTTGTCTAGATGATCTGACTATTTGTGACAGTGGGTTATTGAGTTCCCCCCTACAATTGTATTAGTAGTTATTTGATTTTTCATGTCCATTAATATTTGTTTTGTATAATGTGGTTGTTAATGTATGGTGCATGTACATTTATGATTGTCATCTCTTCCTCTTGGATTGTTCCCTTTATGAGGATGTAGTGACCTTCTTTGTCTCTCTTAATTAGTTTTGGTTTGAAATATATTTTGTCTACAAATAAGATTGCTATCCCTGCTTTTTTCTGGGTTCCTGTCATATGGAGAATTGTTTTTCATCCTTTTACTTTCAGTCTATGAATTTTTTTTTGAATTAGGTGTTTTTCTTGTATACAGCAAAATGTTGGATTTTGCTTCTTAATCCAGTCTGCCAGTTCATTTCTTTTGATTGATGAATTGAGGCCATTAACATTGAAGGTTATACTTGATACATATTGACTCATCCTTGTCATGATATTTTACTGTTGTTGGCTTTTTTATTTTTTATTTTTCCCCATTTCCCCTTAGTTTCTTGCCTTGGCTGATGGCTTTGCTCTGTTGGGCCTCATCGAGTTGTTACCTTCATTGTCTTTTTCTAGGATATTGTTTAGAATTGTTTGGAGTGCTGGTTTGGTGTTCATGAAATTTGTCAGGTATTCTTTGTCATGGAAGTATCTAATTTCCCCATCAATTTTGAAAGATAATTTTTCAGGATACAACAGTCTAGGTTGGAGGTTATTTTCTTTTAGGGCTTGAAATACTTCACTCCAGGCTCTCCTTGACTTGAGGGTTT